GCATGCACTAGAATGAGGGGAGGAAATCCTCATTTATTTTCCGCTTACATTCATTCTCTCGGTGATCTCTTTTATAGTCTTGTGTCTTTAAAAGAGCCTCTCAAACTTAACAAATTCAAATCTCAGTCCTGATTTTATGCTCAAAACTTTGTCCTACCTGAGTCTCTACCTCAGTTCATGGCAACTCCAGTCTTCTATTAGCTCCGGCTAAATAATCGCTATTCATCCTCGATTTTTCTTTTGTGTTCATACTTCATATCTAACCCACCAACACTCTGCCATATACTCTTCAGAATATTTCTAAAATCCAGTCATTTTAAACATCTTTGTCCCTTGTCCCAGCTCATAAATATTTGATCACAAGTTTGAGCCTTTCTAAATATCTTGGAAATCTATGCAGTTCCCCTGATTCTCAACAACTGACCCAGCATCATTGATCACCTTCTGTTACAGTTTCCTAAATTTTCTTCCTTTTATCCACACCTGGCTACTAGACCACACAGTGATATGTTTTTTCAAATATGTGTTTGCATCAGTCCCTTACTTCAGATTCTCTTCCTTGCTCCCAGGTTAAGTAAAAATTCCGTTAAGAAGACCTACAAGGTTCTGTGTGACTGGCACCTCCGTGCCTGTCCAGGCTCTTGGCTTTCTTCCCCTGCAAAACCCACTGGGCTTCTTTTGGTTTACGCTTCCACGTGTAAGTCCCTTCCTTAATCTTCTACTCATAATAACACTTCAATGGTAAACTTAAACTCTAATTTCCTTTAGAGAGCATATTTTTTCCCTTTGGATTGCTTTTTGAAAATCTGTCTTTTCAACTGCCTTTTTATCTTAATCACTTTATATCTTCAGATCCTTAGCACAATTCCTAAGCATCCACTCAAAAAATAATACTTCACATGAATAAATTCTAGAAATGACCACAAATGAAATAACTGTTTTTTCATATACACGTTAGTTGTTTTTATCCAGAAAAATGGGGACAATACTACTATTCATCTGATAGTTGTGTGTATATGACATAAAATGGTCACATAAAGACTTGGTACATTAGTACTAATATTCAATAAATTTTAATTATTATTATTATTTATAGTAAAAATAACCGTTTTAAATATTCTTATGATTGTGTTAGAAATAATGCCATTGTTCAGATATCTTGCCATGGAAGAAGACAGAGTAACCAAGGGAAAAAACCTGGGGAGAAAAGAGTTGGGACAGAACTTGGAGAATGCATGTCTGTTCTGCTCATATTTTAAGGAACATGCAGAGAAAACAAATTAATGAAAGATATCGTAAATGATCACAGATAAAAGTCAGGTTAATTCCATGTCATGTGCCATTGAGTTCCCTTTTGTACTGACAGATCTTCTTACTCTGATAATCAGATTGAGTACATAACATCAATAGAAGCCTTCGTACTCAAATCTGTTTAAACAAGAAATCAAATTTCTTAAGATTTGTGACTCAAAATAATGTATAATGGTAAGGAAATGATAGTGACTTTCCTTCTGTGGCCAAGGAAGACTTCTTAGAGGTTATTCAACTTGAGCTAAATCAATAGGGGCAAGGAAAGTCTGTTTGGAATAGAACTGTGGGGATCAGAGGATTTTAGATGGTGAAACAGCGTGAACAAGGGCTGTAGTGCAAGATTCACTTTGCAATTAGGGAGCAGACCAGTCTTAGGGGCATCACTAAGGACAAGGAGGAGACCATTTTGAAATAATACATTGACATCTGAACGGGCTGAAGCTCAAACGACAAGATAAGGTGTTTAAAGTTTATGTCATAAAAAATAATGGGTTTCAACTGAATATTCATACAATGAAAGTGATATTTTGGTGAAATAAATATAGTAATGCTTCTACAGGTTCAGAAGGGAAGGGAATTATAAGAAGAGTTGAGGTGTAAATTCTGCAGTTCAGGGGAGGGATTAGGTTATAAAAGACTACACTGGAGAGATGAAAGTGAGAAAGAAAAAGATCACATGAAATTACAAAATAAAAGACAAATGAGAAAAAATATACATATGAAATAAGAGATTGGAGAAAAAAGAAGTGTCAGAGATGATTCCTATGTTTCCAGCTTGAACAACTTGGAGAAAAATAATGACATTTATACAAACATGTGGGTGTGATGTTTTGTCACTGACATTAAGCTGAATTGCCAAGACACAGCTTCGTAAGACTGCTGATTATCTCAGTACATGTGCCCATCACTCAACTATCAATAGCTGATGTTGGCAGGTCTGCGGTGGGAGAACAGGCAAATAAGAAAAAGTGAGAGAGATAAGTCAGAACTACATGCTTAATATAATTGAATAAATAATATTAATTATAAGTATTAATTTGAAATAGAATAATGTTCTTTAAAATTTAAACATGATTTTCAACAAATAAATAAATGTTTTCACTTTATTTATACAACATACATTTATTGAGCCCTTACACTGTTCAAGGCATTATAAGGCATGCACAAAATGTAAATATCATCTAAGTGACACAAAGTTCTTTGAGGGGTCAGAGAGGGAAACAATGCACAGGTAAACTTCACAGGTACATGTTATTTTTGAACGCATCCTTAAGGACATGAAAGACTGAAAGACTTAGATGAAAAAGCATGACTTTCAGCTAGGTTTAAAAAGGTATTCATCGGGGAAATTAAAAGGGTAGTGTCTAGCTTGGTGGGAATACAGAGCACACACAGAAGAGAAAAAATACATAAGTTAAACTGCATTGTAAAGGCCATAAATGCCAAAACCGGACTTTGGAACTTTTTTAAATAGGCATCGGGGAGTTATTGCAGGTGTTCAGTTCTGATAAACATAATAAGCCAACACTGTACCCTGAGCACACACGAACCCTGCTCTCTGTGAAAACTCACCCAGTGAATGAATACTTCAATGAGCTAAGTTGTTATGTTTACCATTATAGTGGATATAAAGTTAAACAAATTTCAAATGATGCCATTAAACAATTAACAAGACAGTTATAGGAGGCAATACATATTATCTCATATCCCCACAATGTAAGGTAGGATCTGTGAGACAAGACTATCCTAGGCGTTTAAAAGTCACTAAAGGATCTTGGTAACACCCACTGTTCAATGATTCCTACTATGAGGCAGGTACTACACTGGGTTCATAACGTTATCATGACACTTCCCTGCTCAAAACTCTTCCAGTGTCTTCCTATTGCTTCTAGTAGAAAGGTAAGAACTCCTTAGCACAGCGCATCAATCTGACTAGACCTGTCCTGTATCTCCACTTCCATCCTCATCACAGGAACTTTCTTTGTCATATCCTATACTCCAGCTGTCCAGCCATAGTGGCTTTTCAGAATACAGCAAATTCCTTCTTGCATCAAGAACTCTGTATTTGTTGTGTTTCCTGCCAGAAACATTTTCTCCGAGATTCTCAGAGGATTTTGTTTCTTCTCATCTTTCAAGTGTAAATCTAAAATAATGCTATTTATTTAGTTACTTGTTATCTTTCCCCAAATATAAAAAGCATTTGGCACAAAATAGACACTCACTAACACTGGCAGAATCAATGAATATATGGATTGCCTCACTTTAATTTTTACAACAACTCAGTCAAGAAATACCTAGCTTAAAGATGGGGAAGGACAGCTCGGAAATATTACAGGAAATTCAGGACACTGAGGTTATCAGTGTCAGAGCACATGATTTGAAAATAAGCCCAAAGTCTTTCCACTACCCCTCCCCATCTTCCTGCACAGAGAAGGAGAACTTGATTCTGGATTTTAAGACCTCCAAGGGAGTTGCAGCATTCGATCTAGAGCTCTGACGAACGAATAAATAGAAGGGCAGATGTGCTCTAAGATCACAGAGCAGCCGAAGTCCCTAAAGAAAGAAGTCATGTGTGAACAGTGGCCTTTTGATGGCCTTTTGATGATTCTTTTCAAATTAGAATTATTTCTCCTTCCTAGAATAATAATATTAAAATATTTTTGTTATTTAATTAATTTGGTACTTTAAACACTTTAAGATAGATGCTATGACTATTCTCTTTTATACCATGGCAATCGAAGATGAAAGAAAATGGTAGAACTTGCTTCACTTATATGAACAGCAAATGAATAGCCGAGGGGAGATTTGGTTGTGGGGCTGGCTGCTATCTTCTGACCTCAATTCAATAAGCATAAGCTGTCATTTATGCTCTCTTTTACCAGACCCCAAAATTCTGGCATTTTCACTGTCTCCCCCATTTTTCCAAAAGACATTTTAATTCTATTCAACACATATTTATTGATTGTCTGTTCAGTGGCATACATTCTGCTAAATGCCATAAAACAGAATGCAGAATGAGACAGAGCACCTGTTTTGGTGAGCTTTCAATTTTAAGATTGACCTTAAAATTGAATATTTTTTTTGTACTTCATGAATATTTTCAGTTAATAATTAAACAACTTGTATATGAAATTTTCTGTTTCTATTTATGTGTGGTAGTGGCAAGGGGACACATATATATGTATATTCTGTGGGAGGCAAGGTCAGTGAAGAGGGTGTTATTTGGTCCATTTTGGCAAACAAAATGAAATAAGAATTAGAAAGCGATATGTGGCAAACAAGGGAAAGTATGGAGAATGGAAATGGATCCATGGAAGCCAACCTAGTAAATTCTAATTATTGTTCTGCCTGTGGAAAGTATGTAGTAGGCATTAGGGTCAAAGTACTAGAAACAGTAATTTAAAATCATAAAATATCTTGCTTGCTTTTTCTCTTTGACATTTTTTATAAACTCAAAATAAGGCTTTACCTTTGTATTCAGTCTATGCCAACCCACTACCTAGGAAAAATAATCAAACAAAGCATGTGTCCTGCATTCCAAAAAATTGACACATGACCTTTCTGCTGTTTCGCATAAAATTAACTTTGTGCTCAGAAAAGAATTTAAGAATTACGTGTATCTACCATCTGTATAAGTCATGTATTCTTTGATTAAACTAATCTAATGGTATGCAAACTTATTTCCACAGATTAACATTGACTTCAGTACCAGGGATCTCATCTCAAAGAATATTGCAGAACCAACTCTCAAATGTTTTGATGAGGCCCAGCAGTTAATCTATAGTCTCATGGCCAAGGATTCTTTCCCTCGATTTCTAAAGTCAGAGATTTACAAGAAACTGGTAAATAGCAAACAGGTTGGAAATCATAAAAAATGGCTTCCTTTCTTGTAAAGGTAAACAGTAAACAAATAACCAAGTTACAATTTGGGGGAAAACAAATGATAGGAGAGAATAATTCTTAATTTCTGTACCTGAAGGCTAAAATGTTAAATATACTAATACAACATAAAGGTTTTTTAGGGTTTAGAAAACATTTTTTGCTCCAAAGGAAGAATACTTTTTCTATATGATGCCTGATATTCTGAGTCATTTGTTTATAATTTATTCACTTTATCAAGTACTTAAAAATGTTCTACTGGTAAAATACAAAGGGAGTTTGTAGAGATAATACACTAAGTAGATATTCATATAACAATATAAATTCAAGGAATTATATACCTTCATGTTGCTGAATGGGAGCCTGGTTAGCATCATATACATGATTTTAAATACCATTTGCATTGTTTAGAACCTCACATAAGTAGAAAGAGAAATTCTGAACCAAATACAACCTTCCACCTAGTGTACTCAGCTATTTCTTTTCAGCCAGGATTTGCCACATAATAACTCTGTGGTTATCTAAACTGCTATAGCCCTCAGTTTAATTAAAAAGAAAATTAAAAGAATGTGTACATATTTTTATATATGTCATTATATATATAATAAATATATATTTTATGTATATGACTTTTTATAAAGTGTCACATTTTATATATGACTATGGCTTAGACTTTGTCAAAATATTATCGGTTGGTTCAATTCTCTGACATCACATTGGCATATATATGGGAAGAGTCTGAAGTGTGGGGAAGACTGATTTTCTTAGATTAATAAAAATATAAAGAAGAGGAATGGGAGTATGACTAAGTTCTTATATAATGACCTGCGTAACAGTAATTGTCCCACAAAATAAAAACATATTGCAACATTATATACTCAAATTAGGGAGTTAAGTATCTATTCACTCATTCAGCACTGGAACATGTTTATAAAAGTCAAATAAATTTTAAAAACATTTATTTTGAGTCGTGCCTAAAATTGTTTCTTTCTATATATAAATGTCTTGTAATGAGCATGAATAATTTAATGTAGTAAGAGGATCTATAAGGATTCAACAGATCATCCTTATTTCCGTTTTATTTGCATAGATTTATCTTTATTGATATCTCTAATTTGGAGATTATTTGAACATTAAAAAAATAGAGGAAAAAGAGCATTACTTAATTTGTCTCCACAAAGTGCTCATTTGACAGACAAATTTTTGTCTCCCTTTTGTCACAAAAAACAAATATTGAAATATGTTAAAATGAAATATTCCCTGTACATTTGCAAATTCCTTACAGAAAAGTGTAATACAAACTGACTGTGAAATATTCAGTGCATCTCATGGTGTACTTAGTGGAAAACAGCTATATACTTTCCAACATTTATTCTGAAGTTTCCAACCTTAATTTAGCCTGTACCTAAATAGGAAATTTTGAATTATTCCCAGAGATGAGAAAGACTTTAGAAGATAGAAGGCAACTCAAAAATTAGAATCACATCCCCTCTTTTCAGACCTGGAAAAAGAAAAAGAGATCTCAGTTATTTCCTACGGTCGCGCAGCTGAAAGTGGCAGAGCCGTAAGAACAGCGCTCTCACCGCTGGGCCGCACTAGCTCCCCGTGCCTGCGCAGCAGTGCGGGCTCCCCACCCACTGCTGGGGACCCCCAGGTTAGTGCTGAGGCCTGAAAAAATCTCAGTTCCTACTAACCCTAAAATACTCAGGCACCGTTTCTTTCATTAATGTTTCAACTATCCTTTGAGAGTCAGTTTGTAACTTCCTTATTATTATTATTATACAGTAAGACTTCATGTTTAGTGATCGCCTTTCAGGTTTTCTCTAATGAAAGGTGGAAAGCCACAAAGCAAACTTTCACCACCTAGAAGCAGGAGGGGATTGGTAGTGGGTAAAAACACAGTAAGTGTCAAAATGATATGTGGAAAACTTGGGTGTTGAATGAACTCTAAGACCCCAACCAGGGTCTCTCACAAAGTCTTCTTCCCACCTCCTCAGTGCATTCCCCATCCCAAGCTGTAAATTCTTTATTTAATAGGACAGAAAAGAAAAACAATAGCAAGTTTTAGGAATATTTGGAAGTGAGGATTTTGAGTAAAACTATGAGATGCATATCTTTCACATGTGGTTCTATTTATGTCTTTCTCACCCCATATGTTATTTTATTTCATCAGTTATCATTAATGTCTGATTTTATGGATGGTATTTTTAAATAAAAATGATTAACTTGTAAAAAATGATTACAACTTTCCTGCTAACATATTTAAATATTCAATGATTGCATAATGCCATTTTCTAAAAATGTTTACGTTAGTTTTAAGAAATGAAGAGCTTACAAGAAAAACTAAGCTAAGCAGTAAAACAGCAATGAAATTACAAGATATTGACATAGAAATGACCTTCAAATCATAAGAAAGTTTTTCCAAGAACAGTCTTTCCCATTTTCTGACAGTTCCTATAAAATATATTTAAAAACAATTTATGTTTGCCCTCCATTAGATCACATCTAAAGTAATCAAATGATACATTCCTAAAAGAATCTTAAGTTCTTTAACAATCTAATTTGATGTTACAATCCATGAATTTATCTAAAATCCTGTTTAATTTACGTGAATATCAAGTAGAAATAATTTAATTCATCAATAATGATTACTGATTCTTATAAGTTTATACAAATATAGTTTTCATACTTGCCTAGAAAGGATCTATTTCAGGCTCAAATTATAATCAACACTTTTTTTTTTACTAATACCATACAGTAAAAATCTAAAACCTATAGGATATTCCAAACATGAGCTAGTGTCAAACTATATCATCTCAAAGTCTTTTATTCTGTCTCTATATACAATTCATTCTACTCACCTTTATTGTTTTACTTTTCTCTAAAATTTTCCTAATTTTGTGTTATGTATTGACTATGTGTATCCATAGTATTCCTAATAAGAGTAAATGGTGATATAATAAAAGCAGAAAAAAAATGTTTTCTGCTTCCTTTCTCATATCCTTTCTAATAAACAATATTATCTTGGCCTTTAAAATAATAGTATTCTGGCCCATAATTCTGGAGAAGAGCCTAGATTTCTTTCCTGGAATTTCAATAAAATTTTAAATCCATTGTCCTGGACTTGAAATATATATTAAATTGACTTTCCTTCTGTTTAAATGGAAGCTGATAGCTAATCTTCCCAATCTTGTAAGCTAAGTCCTAACATAAGCAATAAATATAAATCATTGTTGCAAAACTAAAGAGATCCATTGTAAAAAAAAAAAAAGGAAAACTACCTTTAAAAAACAAAACATGCAATCTGATCTCAGTAACCCTAGCCTTTTCACATATTTATTCCCTATGCAACAATTCTATCTCTAGCCTTCACCCACACACCCCTTATCTAGAAGTTTCACCCAAATTATATTAATGCGGGCCTGATTTGCTTCCCAACCACACAGTCATGTAATTTATTTTATGGTGACACCAATCAATTTAAAGTGAACTCTTTCCACAACTACATGAAACAAGTGGGATGTTGTCAAAACAAAATAATCAATTATTATATGAATAAGAAGGCACTGACTTTATGTTCCTCTTACTGTTTTGTCAGATTTGCCATTGCTTTTTAACAGGGAAGCATCAGGAGTGAATAACAAGTGGTAACAATTTACTTCAGCTATCCATTTCAGAGGAAAATTTTTAAATTATATACAATTGCCATTTATAGTATTTGAATACAAAATAAATGTGCATAATTAATTGTAACAATTAATAAACAGATATTGGTGTTTTTCCAATTATAACACAAGGTGGGAAAATAACATTTGTTAAATGACCTCATATTTATAAGAAACCACATCTGTTTTTGCCTTATTTTGTTTAAGATGCAAAATCAATATTGAATCTGGTAGAGAAAAAAAACTAATAAAGTTTAATCAGGTTATTGTTTAGCCATTGAACGTTGATGTTTTGTGTTATATCTACATTAAAGTCAGCTATGAATATTCCAAAGAAAAGGAAAACTGTCATGATCAATTCACATTTTTTCCTTGGGAATGATTGTTTAACTATTACTGGATACCCCATGTAAGACATCATTTCATTGACTTATAAATGAGAATTTTGAAGCATATAATTCCTTACAAATTTGTTGTGGTTTCCTTGTTCTAATTCTTTTATTATTTTTGTGCATTTAGGAAAATAAGTTGTAATATTTGGTTCATTAATCATGAATGATAATTGCTTAGATAAAAATATAATAAATATCTGATGTTTCCTAAAAACCAGTAAGAAAAAAGATAAAGATTCCATATTTAAATATTCTTGCATTAATTTCATATAATTTTAATTAAAATGTCTTATTTTTAAAGTATCAGTTTTAGGCTTTTAAACTATAAAGGAGTTTTGTGCTTGATGGCTTTGAATTATAGTTTTTGTTCTTCTTTCCAGATCTATCATGTTTACCACAAAGACATGAATTCAAAACTTAAGACTGGTATTTCTTACCTCTTACACAGAAAAGACAAAGACAATGGAAATTCCTATTATTTAATAGGAAAGTAGACTTTAAAATTAATTAGTCAAAGCAGTATTTATTTAATATCTGAATATGAATCTTTTATGGGATCATGCCAAAATCCATTATTAAAAACCAAGAACACATCAAGGGAGATTTAAATGTTGAATTTATGATTGATCTAAAAATTTGCATTCAAAGTGCTGTTTATTATCCAATAATTCTCTAGATTCCTTTATAGGATTTTCTTTCTGCTAGAAGCATACTTTTAAAATGAGTAAATAAACTCTAACACTAGTAGTTAAAGATTGATTGGCAACTTCAAACCATTAGCCATACTGTGGCTTAAGCCAGATAAAAGTCATTTTCTCAAATGCAGTTTTTATTTTAAGTGGTAGAAGTCAATGGAGAATACCAAGTATCATTACATAGTGGCTGTAAGTAAATTTAGAAATTTATTGAGAACTCTAAGTTTACAAGTATATTTAAGCATATATACATATATATATA